ATACTCTTGAGATACGACCGAAACGTCAGTACTGTTCAATCGTGCGACTGGCCGCATGTTTTTGAGTTTTTCAGTAGAATCACTAACGGTACGAATTCAATCTATATTTGAAACTGATCTTTTAATTTTTAAGTAAAGCAGTGCGTGAAGAATTCTGCAGCAAACGCAAAGTCCACTATTTAAGCGTTCCTAAGGTTCAAATGTAAAACTCAGTCATTCAACGACAAGTTTCGTGACAGATAATTTATAGCTGAAAAAGACGGACGGTGAAGACTTAGTCAACGTGTATTTTCCAAGCTTGTTCAGCTAATGTTTTCCATTCAAATTCGTTTCGCTTGATGCATGATCAGACCGGTCGTTATCTTGTCCGCTTGTCGTAAAGCATTTTATTAGCAAAAGGTGGAAATCTCTAAGTCCATTAGATTGTCGGTACATCAAAGTGTTGCGTTATTGGGTCCATATTTGCTTCTTAGCTGCAATTTGCGGAAGGCTTAAATTGTACAGCGGCATGGAATAACTGTCTTCGGACGAGTTTAGGAAAAGCAACGCGTAAGTTTACATATGCATTTAGAGTCATTAAGGAAAGCTGAGAGCAATACTAAGGCCAATAAATATCTTTTCAGTGGTCCAGCACGATTCGACGATATGAGTTTCCTTTTAATGCTTGTATCAATCACTAGCTGGCCCGAAAGTAATTATCGTTCTACATCCCTAGTGCAGATGCTGCAGCTACCTACTATGGCTGCTTACAGTCACGGAATCAGCCAACAGGCCTGTAAAATCATCTGCTAAAAGAAAACAACGTTGATGCGGCATAAATAAGAGCCTATCAAACATCAGTACTGTCGGTGTACTCACTGTTTCAGCTGTTTGCAAAACCGGATCCCTACGCAGCAGTTCCGGCGTGCTAGAAGCCACTGAACAGTTTATTACTGTTAGTGCGACTTTTATTGTTTACTGGTACACAACAACAGTGACTGACACCGGTTCGCCTGTCCCATCATTTTGCTGTTACTGAATGGGCGAGATACAGCTGAACGCAAGTCGACGAATCAACTGTATACGGTCAGTGAGAAGTCGCTGACCGGCAGTGCGGTGAAAGACAAATAACTGCAACGCAATCCTTTGCTTAAGCAATACAAATGCAATGGCCGTGAATTTGTCAGTGGCTCT